TCTCCTTAACTCCACCAAATAAATGTTGAGGAAATGTTTAAACATCACCAGATCAAAGGGTAAACTAAATTATTGACCTTCTTTACATGGTTGTCTGACTGAAATTGGGCAAGTAATTCCATTTCAAGGGGGATATTTTCAGTCCCACTGACTTCTCCAACTTAGCTATTACCAGGGAGTCTGCCTTTGACAGGGTCTGGATGGTGCAGGCTACCAATGATAAAACCAGCCCCAGTAAAGCATTACGCCAGGTGCTGGGTTTCAGCAGTGAGTAGGATACTGATTTGGCTCTCAAGAAGCTCCTATTATACAATTATTTGATTATAAGTGGGATACATGATTGACATAGGGGTCCTAAGAACAGAAAAGCTTCTCTAAGGAAATATTTCTGTTTCGAAGTGAAGAGGAATTTACCAGATAAAGAGCAGAGGGAAGGAAAAGAAAATCGTGTCTGTGAACCTCCAGGAGGGAGAAGAAACCAGTGAATCGGAGGTGGTGAAAAAAGGCAGCTGGAAGGTGCTAAGGAAGTAGCACAGGACAGATAGTTGAAATAGGGCCCAACCACTCAGGGTGTGTTGGCCACGTTAATGATTTTATCTGTACTCTAAAAGCCAATGAGAGACCTTAATCTCTCGGGTTAGTGATACAATCAAAACCTGCATTTTGAAAATCATTCTGCCTCCTTAGCGAATAGGCAAAGGCAGTGAGGAGGGGCACGAGCAGGTGCGAGATCTCAGATTGGAGGGCACTAGAATATTCCAGCAAGGAGTGGTGGTGGCCGACAGTAAGATAATACGGAAAGAAATAGACTCAGAATATTTTTTGAAGAGATAATCAGTATGAGGACTGAAGAAGTAGGAGTCATCAACATTGACACCCAACTATCTAACAAGAACTGGGTGACTGGTACTACCAATGAAGAAACACTGGGAGAGGGTGGAGTTGGAGATAAAGAGCAAAAACTATGATTTTTTTTTTATATGGACATGTGGGGTTTGAGTTACATGTGACCCTCAAGAGATGGCAATTGGTTCTAAAAGTCTGAATGCCAGAGGAGAGGTCAAAACAGTCAGAGAGAGCCCAGGATCAGTCTCAGAAGAGCTTCCTACAAAATAATTAACTGGTTAATAAATAAACAGGTTCTTAAAAACTAAGTAGAGGCTAATGAACCCATAGGGGAAAGCGAAGAAACAGCCAGTGTTAGGAAAAGGGGTTGTCATGGAAACTTGGGGTCTGAAAAAAGAGGACTCCACTGCCCAGAACGCAGCTACACATACAACCTAGGCGCTGGGGTCAGAAATGGGAGGATCAGCAGGGCCACAGTGGCCCACAGACCACATCTTACCTTCATGGCGTCCATCTCCTTCACCACCCAGCTGCTGCTGCTGCTGCAAATTTGTTTTCTCCTAAAAGCCAGGCGCCTCCACAGGAACCTACCTGACTCTGAGATCCTATCTGTGGCCTCCGAGATGCCTCCCAATTCCAAGTCCATTGGCAGAACCTCACATATACATTCATTTGTTCATATCAATTATGCTTGACCACCAGATGCAGGGTTTGTAGACAACATGTGTATAAAATACTATGTAAAGCATAGTCTCCACCCTCAAACTCATAATCAATGGTATGAGCAGCTCAAGGTGAAACAACAACAAAACAAGTGCTGTGAAAGAGGAGGAGCCTGGCCGCTGTGGCTCAGGAGGTTGGAGCGTTGCCCCTTGCATTGGAAGGTCTCAGGTTCCCGGTGAGGGCACATAACTAGGTTGCACAGGGGTGGGCACAGGAGGCACCCAATCGATGTATCTCTCTCACATCCATGTTGCTCTCCCTCCTTCTCTCTTACTTCCTCTCTAAAATCAATTTTTAAAAAAGAAGAAGAAGAACGGGGAGCTTATTCCAAGGTTAACTTCTGAAGGAGTTCCAGCCCACTGGCATGCATAAGGGGAGGGCCAGTGGAGTCAGACTGTCTGGAGACCAGCAGATGAAGGTCAAGCTGCACAGCTCCCAGGAGAGTGGCTGCAAAGGAAGAGAAATGAGGGCACTACGCTCTCTCACCAGGTAGTGGGGATGGTGGGCCACTCTAAACTCACAAGAGCTTGGTGTGGGACACTGGCCACAGCTGAAAGCTGCCCAGGAGGCCTTGTTGCGAAGTCCTCATCCTCCTTGGCTTTTCCCTTCGTGCCCAAGGAGGTCCTTCGGGGAAAGTCTCCATAAGGCCTCTCCTCTGTGAGCTGCTCTGAGCCCCCTGCAAATTCTAAATCCTTCTGGGAGCCTCCAGTTTCTAGGTCTTTCGAGGCATCCATCTCCTTGTGTAATTTTCAAGTTGGGTGATATATCCAAAGGGAAGGTCCTCTCGGGTGCCCTCCAGGGTCAGGTGCATTCACTCACCTCCCCCGTGATGGGAGAGCCTTGCATTCCCTTTTCTCCACAACACAGCCCAGCTCGCTTTCTGCTGCATACGCCCCCTCTCTCTCCTGGTCACAGTTGCCCTCATTGGTGTTCTTCCTAAAGCCTCGCCCAACCCTTTGTTCATTGACTATGTGGCCTTATTCACTAGTGGGCTGCCCCGCTTCCAACCCACCCATCAGCGCTTGCACATTCATTTCAATGAAGAAAGTATTACATAAGTCTCCCTTTTTACCCATTGACCTCTCCCTGGCCACCTACATCCTCCAACACATGCTCTCAAGCCCCCCCCCCCACACACACACACACTCCGGTGGTCTCTGACCACACGGCCAATTTTCCCCAGATTTCTTCCATGAATTTATTACAGTTTTCAGTCTCAACTGCTGAACATAAAATGGGTCTGTATTTCACTATGTTACTTAAATGACAATTTAAAATAACTGTTTTCTAGCTTGGGGATTTTCCCTGATTATTAATTTACTGGTTCTGTGTGGTCTTAACAGAAATGATAAGTGGGAAGAAGGAGCCAAACGAGCTATAATACCACCCTTCCATGGCCATGCCAGATAAGTATTTTAGAATCGAAAGGCCAGCATGTACCATTTCACTCAGTTGTGATGGCTCCCAATTGGATGGCAGCCCATTAGAAAACGGCTCCAGTTTGAACACCTCCAGGTCCTGCTGTGGAAGGGACCTTTGCTTTCCAGAGCTTCTGTCACACTCAGGCAGACGTCCTGGTTTAGGAGATGGGCTCTCAAGTCCCAACCACGCCCCCACCCTTTCGCTGCTCCTGATGGGCCCTGGTTACTTCCCAGACAGAGAGCCCCCTTGCGCCAGAAGTCAGGGAAACACTTGGGGTTTGAATCACCTGCCACATTTCAGCAAACATTACACACAGAAAAGTTCAGGATCCTGGGGATCAGTCCGCATTTTACTTTACAGTACATTCACATAAGTTCCTGCATGTCCAAGGTAACCAGATCACATTCAGGTTAGCACTGCTGGTAACAAAATTATACAACTACCCTGGCTTCAAAAACAGGATGGGATGATACACATTAACAATTATTTCCCTTTAATGCTGCAGGAGACAACACATTACAAAAATGCAATCACATGCCTTTGACAATCCAGTGTGAAGGCATACTATTTACGTTAAAATTAAATGATTTGGGGCATGGGAAGAATAAGAAGCGTTTCAAAGTGTTAGATAAACTCCACCCCCCCACCAACACCATCCTTCTCCTCTAGCCATCAGCTGGCATACTCGCCATCAAAGCCTTGGGAAGAGAGGGACAGAGGACAAAAGGGGATCATTTAGCTCTGAAATGCATGGTTTCTTGGGCCACTTCTATAAAAACTACTTAAATAACCTGAAATTCTAGAAAGAGTTAGTAAGAGATGGTACGATGAGAAGCACCTGGAGAAATTCATCTAGTTGCTGAAGGCAAATATCTCCTGCAGACTTTTCACAACAACGGAAAACTGTATCACATACAATAATATATTAAGTTCTGACAATACACTTTCACTTTACTGAATGAAAACACTGGTCTTTAACCAGCTCAGAAAAACAGCTGTCATTTCATCTGCAATATTTTCAATGGGCTTCCTTACATCATCATTACCATCTAAGAGTGAAGCTGACCAACAGCCCCCACCCTTGGAAAATATAAGAAGCCAAAGTAAGCTCTAATTAAGACTAGAATGAATTAGGCAGGAGGAAATACAGATGTATGAGAAAGCCACAAGTTAGATTTGGGTCTCTTTTTCCTAGATAAAAAACATTGTTACAAAATGCTTTGGACCCGGGTCCAACACAGCTGGAATGATGAGTTATTAAAAACGCAAGCCCCATCCCGAAAGATAGCGTGCTCATGGAGTACCTGTTCCCTAGAAGTCCAATGTGCTTTAGGATGACTATCAATTCGCTGCTTCATTAAGTACATGAGTCAGAATCTACTTGGACTTATTCATTCCAGTGACTGAAAAGTCCCTGCCACTTGCTGCCAAAAAAATTTCAGTCCTGAACTTCTCAGGTTATAAATAAAATTGATACTCATATTTGCTGCCTCTAAAAGAAATACCACCCTTTCAGGGCTGAAACGCATGGTGGAAGAGGGAATAAGACACTACTTAGAACAGTCACAAAATATCTTATGAAAACCCAGAGCCAGTGCATACGTTACAGCCCCTGAAGAAAGCCCCAGCCACCGGGTAAGCAAGGGGAGCGGTGATGTTTTTGAAACCAGAGTGAGTCGGAGCTAACTGTCAAACAGTAAATTCACATAGTAAAATGCAGAATAAGTCAACATATCGCCAAAGTTTACATTATATCTAGAAATATGTTTTATGCTTTAAAAAAAATCGCAATGCACTCCAAAAAAATGTTTTCAGATAATTCATGTACAACAGAAGGCACTGTTCAC